GAAGTTGATTCAACATTTCCTTTGTTAAGATTTTTATTTGATTGTGAGTTCTCCTTCGATTCATTTTCATTTCCATCAGCCCATTTTGAACGTTTGTGGAAAAAGAATTCGAAATTAAAAGCTTTTATTTATTATAAATTATAATTCCATATAATCCTTTCTACGGTTTTTTTCAGTGTAATGGAAATTACAAAGCTTGGAATAAACTAAAAATATTTACTACAAACTAAACAAAATAAAAAGCTATCGTAGATATTGTCTATCTCCAAGAAATTTTTTTAATAATTTAAAAACTGTTAATAAGCACATCATGTTTTCTTAATACTTCAGTTTTATTTTTCGTGGGTGGTTGGCAACCAAGTCTTCCTCCATTTTTGTTGGTCCCAGACGAGCTTGGAAAAATAATAATCACATTTTGTAGTCATTTGAGACTTGGGAGAAAGACTAGATCAGACGATCGATACACAAGCTAATTTCCGTGCGATGACTTTGCAAACCTTTTTTCACGTCATGCTTATTGATTCATCTAAATTGTTGACAAAGTATAAAGTGTATAAGAACATTTATAAATAAATTTGCTACTTCGATATATAAGAAATTTTCATATAAATATGTGTGTCTGTGTAGTAATATTTATTACTTCATTATCATATATTTAATGATTATTTTTCTGAAAAATGTGCATAAAAAAAATTTATCTTGCATTTGAGGGGTGACTTCTTGAAAAATATAAATTTTTAAAAGATTAGATGCAAAGGTATTAAAAATAATTGTGCCTTTTGAAATTAAAATTTCCAAAAGATTTGAAGGTTATATATGAACATCTAACAAAAGATCCTTGTAGATTTTTCCAATCCCAAGACTATGAGAATGGATCAAAATTAAAAAATTATATAGATAGAATGACCAAGACTATGATCAGTAAATTGAATGAATATATAAATAAACAGATGAATGACTATGACTAGCTGAATCAAAATTTTAAAAATGATATTGTTAAGTCTTCTTCGTTTTTTTTTTTCAGGTCCAAGATAAGTGTGGAAAATAAATCGTTAAGGTTTTGTAGTCACTTGAGACCAAGACTAGCTAATCAGTATACACACACATCAATTGCTTGTCCTCACGTCGTGCACAACATATAAAGAGAGGCCCCCCCCCCCCCTTTTTTTTTTTATCAAATATCTTCAATTGTGTGCCAGGATCATTAATATCAATCACTCGTGTCATAGTTTCTCAAATTTTGTCTAAGGAAAAAAAAAATTAAAATATAATATTTTAAAGGATTCATTAAAATGGCATTAAAGATCATGATTACTCTAATTAAAAATTATAATGATTTATAATTAGAGTTTTAGAAAAGGTTACAATTTTAAGTAACTTTGTAATCGAATTATTTAAAAAAGTAATAATTTTTTAATATAATATTAAGTCTCATAAATTAATTATAATTTGGCTAAAATATACAAAATTTTCATGAACTTTGAAACTGTTGCACATAACTTTTCACCTTTAAAAATTTAAAATTAACTTTCTTAACCTTTTAATTTTTTTATCAGAGGCTCCTATTGTTATTTTTTAATTATTTTACTAATACTAATAGAAATTGTCATATTCTTTTTTTTTTAAAAAAAAGACATGTAGCAGTTTAATTAAGTGGCATCTAATGAAATATAATAATAGCTTTATAAATTTTTTATCAAATTTTTTTGCTATTATTATATTTTAGCCTTATAATTTTGATCTTTGAAAATAGTTACAGTATAATGTTTTAAAACAATTAATAACATAATTCTTTTTTAAAATTTAGGTTTTAAAATATATTTTTCTTCTTTCTCACAACTATTTGCCTTCAGGGGTATTGCATATTCAAGCTAAGTGGAATATTCAATTATTAAATTGTCGATAATTAATATGTTTTACGGTGAATTATAGGAATCTTCATGCAATGATGCAATGACTGCACACACCTTTCTTCCCGCTGCATTGAATGATTGATCAGAATTGTTGACTAATTATTTAAATTACTATGCCAAACAAAATAAAAAAAATGTGAAAAATGATTTGGATCCAATCAAATTTCGTTAAAAAATATAATAAATAAGAAGAGAGTAGCAAGTGCTACAGTGATGACAGTGAATCTCTTTTTCATTTTTATGGCCAGTTAATCCAATATGTATTACTAAGGGAAATTATAAGACCTTCACTTATCATTAAATTTTGAATCAAAAAGTAATTAAGAATTAAATAAACCAAAATTAATTTGTGCAACTTACCTGTTATTATCTGGAGGTTTTATTCGGAAGACAAGTAATTTGTTAAGGCGACAATAATTCTTTTATTTGTTAAATCTTTGCTTCTACCCATAAAGGACGCTTCATATGCTCACTATCATATCCATCCAATCAAATTTCGTGGTCCTTAAGGTTCGTTTATTTAAAAACTTTATCCTTGCCGTTGGTGATCAGAATAGACTTGTTTATGTGTCACAGTTGTGCTACTGCCTATAAATGAAGCTTCATCAATACTTGTTCAATATCATATCCATTCTTCACTTTGCATAGCCTTCAGACTTCATTAATGGGGTTTTCCAATCATCCTCTGTTTTTTCTTTTTTTTTTCCTTCTTTACTTTGGTCTTCCTTCGACCCACTACTTTGCAACTCATGATTTCTCTGCCCTTCTCCATTTTAACAACTCTTTTACTCTTGATCCTCTTGCTTCTTTAAATTGTGCTGAGAAAACTAATCAGTTGTCTTACCCAAAGACGACATCATGGGAAAATGATCCAAAATGCCGCTTGTGGGATGGGATCACATGTGACAGCATGTCAGATCATATGATTGGCCTTGACCTTAGCTACAGTTGGCTTCATGGTAAACTCCATCCTAATAGCACTCTCTTCCAACTTTCTCATCTCCAAACACTCAACTTGGGTTACAATGATTTTGATGGGTCTTTGATGTCACCTCAATTTGGTGATCTTTCAACTCTCGTGCATATGAACTTAAGCTATTCATATTTTGCTGGTGAAATTCCTCTTAAAATCTCTCACTTGTGTAAATTGGTCTCACTTGATTTGTCTTGGAATGGAGTTTACTCACTTGATATGAGACTTGAACCATCCACATGGGAAAATCTCATTCTGAACACAACTAATTTAAGGGAACTTCTTCTAAAATATGTAAATATGTCTTCCATTGCACCAAATTCTGTCTTTGGTGATCAATTTGTCATCCTCTTTGGTTCATCTTGGTCTTCAAGATACTCAGCTGCAAGGAAATTTTGTAAATAACATTTTCTATTTACAAAATCTTCAAAAGTTAGATGTCAGGTAATGGAAATCTCAAGGGTCAACTTTCAAATTCCATAGGTCATTTGAAGTCTCTCAAAATTTTGAGCCTTCAGCATTGCCAATTTGATAAGACCATTCCTCTAAGTTTCGATAACCTCACTCAGTTAACTCATTTGGACCTTGCATCAAATAATTTTAATGGTGAGCTCTCATTTCTTTCAAACCTTAAACATCTCTCTAACTTACATCTTTCATCTAATCATTTTAATTTTGAGATGCCAAATGTGTTTGGAAATCTTAGAGAATTAGAAGTTTTATCAATTTCCTAAAATAACATCGAAGGATAACTGCCATGGTCATTATGTAATCTCACTCAACTTATTTAGATTGTAGCTTTAACAAATTAATATTTCCATTTGGTTGCGAACTTTTTAACTTGAATTTTTTTGATTTCTCTCATAACGAACTGCAAAGGAATTTTCCTAATTTGATTTTTAGTCTCATAAATCTTTTCCATTTAAGTCTATCATTAAATAACTTGAGTAGACCTGTTGATTTTCACTAATTTTCAAAGTTTCAATATCTAGAAAAACTTTATCTTTCAAACAAGAAGTTTCTCTTACTTAGCTCTGACAATAATCTTAACTACACCATTCCCTATCTTAGAATCTTAGATTTATTATCTTGTCATATCACAAAATTCTTAGACCTTCCAAATTTACTGATGTTAGATCTTGGTCATAATAAGTTGCAAGGTCTCCTTGAGTCAGTGTTTCATTTTGTAAATCTTTTTCGTCTAGGCCTATCATCAAATAATTTGAGAGACCCCATTAGTTTTCATCGATTTTCAAAGCTCCAAAATCTAGAAAGTCTTGATCTTTCAAACAATCAGTTTCTATTACTTAGCCTTGACAATAATTTTCACTACACCTTTCCCAATCTTGGAGACTTAGATTTATCTTCTTGTAACATCAATGACTTTCCTAAAATCCTAGGAAACCTTCAAAATTTGAGGTTTTTAAATCTTTCCAATAACAAAATTCAAGGAGAGATTCCCAACTGGTTCAATAATGTGGAGAATGGTTCTTTGATGGCTTTGGATCTTTCTCATAATAATTTGACATCAATAGAAATCTGTGAATGAGAAACTTCCAAGTTCTTGACCTTAGCTTTGACATGTTGATCTCCCAATTCCATCCTTCCATGTTAATTTCTTTTTAGTGTCCAACAACAAACTAAGTGGACACATGTCTTCCTCATTTTGCAATGCAAGCTCACTTGAAATACTCAACTTGTCTCACAACAACTTGTTAGGTCACATCCTAAAGTGCCTTGTTACTTTGCCGGATCTTATGACTTTAGACCTGTAGATGAACAATTTTGTTGGAACTATACCAAACAATTTTTCTAAGAGCAATTTCTTCCAATCTTTGTTTTTGAGCAACAATCAATTTGAGGGACGGTTGCCTTCATCTTTGACCCATTGCATGCAATTAGAAATTTTAGATGTGGGAGCAAAGAAGATCAAGGATGAATTTCCTAATTGGCTGGAAGGTTTATTGGAGATACAAGTACTAAAACAAGTTCTATGGTGCCATTTATAGTTCCAACACAAAGCATCCTTTTTATAAGTTAAGAATTTTTATGTTTCCAACAACCATTTTAGCAGACATTTGTCAACTGCATACATCAAGGAATTTAAAGGAATGATGAATATAGATTATGATGCAATTGGTTTGGATTACATGGGAAGATATTATTCTTATGGATTCTCATTTAGAAAATCAGTGAAGCTCACATTGAAAGGTAATGAGCAAGAGCTAGTAAGGATTGTAACTACATTAACAATTATCGACTTCTCAAATAACATGTTTGATATAGAAATCCCCCAAGTTATTAGTGAGCTAAATTCACTAAAAGGGCTAAACCTCTCCCACAATAAAATCACCGGTCCTATTCCTCAATCACTTGCAAATTTGACAAATCTAGAATGCCTAGATTTATCATCAAATAGGCTTACAGGTGAGATTCCACCAGCACTAGTGAATCTCAACTTTCTTGAAGTTTTGGATCTTTCAAAAAATAAACTTGTTGGAGTAATACCAAAAGGTAAGCAGTTTGATACATTTTCAAAAGATTCCTATAAGAGAAATATAGGATTGTGTGGATCTCCATTGTCAAAAGCCTGTGATCATGTTGAAGGGAAATTGCCACAACTAGCTTCATCAACAAATGACAAATTTGAATTTTGTTGGAAACCAGTAGCCTTGGGATATGGATGCGGGATGGTGTTTGGAATGTTCATGGAATGAGTTGCTTTTTTGATTGGGAAACCTTGATGGCTTGTTAGAATTTTTGAAGGGAGGCCTAAGAAACAAGCAAAAAGGACAAGGAAAACAACTCTTCCAAACCACAAAGAATGAATTAGTCACAAAAGATTGTAGATTCATGTGATATTGTGACATCTTTTTTTTTTTTCATGTTCCCTTTATGGTTCTTGTTTCATGTCTCTTAAATATCATGTTAGTAATTGGAATGTATTGCATATTTATTTCTAATATGTAATTAAGTTACTGTTATTCTTTGTTTTGTGATTTTCAAGTGATTTGTTCTCATTTGTATGCCATGCACTTTTTAACATGCGAGTATAATTTTTCACATATTAGCAACTTTTTGTGGTACAAACATTTGTGCACATTTAATGATTAATCGTTCAATATTTCTCATTCGCATGAAGATTTAAAGAAAAATTTTATTTTTATTCCTTTTTTCTCTTGAAATCAAGTTAATTTAATTAATGTCTCTACTTAATTAAGTAATTTTAATTAATCCACTCCCTTTGGTATCTATTACAGGATGCCTTTAGAAAGATTTTTTTTTATCCTTAATATAATGCATTTGATGGGATATCAATTGCCTTTTTTCAATATTATTCTTATTTAAATTCATTAACTATGAGAGAAAATGTAATGCAAATTTAAAAATTTTCGTTTAAATAGAGATAAAATTAAAAGTTTATTATAATTTAAGGCAAAATTAATGACTTAATCATGTTTTATTGATTGCGGTAAGGTAATTAGATGTGCTTGATTATAAGGACTAGAGGGAGTATCTACTTTTTGTTCTATATTAACCTAAGTTAATATAAATATTCAACAAATGAACTTTTCATAACACTAGTGTTAGTGAATTTTTATAAATTATAAATATTTTGATGTGATTGCTTATCATTTTTTGTGTGATAAACTTGAAACATCAATTTATTTTAAAAGAATAACTTACATATGCAACAAGAAGGAGAGCACACTACCTTAATTTCTAATCAATTCTCCTCTCTAGTACAGGCAACGATCATATCCATCACATCAAACATTAAAAGCTTCATAATACAAGAAATGTGTGATACAAATTTATGATAAGATATGTGTCACGCCCTAAAAATAGAGAGTGACCGATACGGGTGTGAACCACTTACACATCCCTGTAAGCCTCGGAATGAAAATTTATTCCATTTTTACAAAAGAAAAGAAAAAAATTAATCAAATTACATGAGAATTAAAATAATATATAGATAAGCTAATTATCATAAGAAAGTATTGACATTTTGTAGAAATTTTGGCAAAACCTCCCCTATAATTAGGATCTCCTAAAACTTCTACAACAAAAATTTCCAAGATAATGGTATAAATCAGGAGCATAGCTCCTTCCAGCTAGCAACCAATATACAAACTAAAATAAAGTCTATCAATAATCTATGTGGAGCTTCTACTTTTTCTTTTAAATCAAAAAGACATACAAATTATATATTTACATTAAAAGCAATAGTACTAATCAAAAATTTCCACCCACTGTAGCTAGGTTGCCCTTCAGAGGTCAAGGGGGATCAGTGTCATTGAGATTAAAATAAGTTTTTCAGTGAATAGCATTCCCATGGTAAAATTCTTAAAATTTAAAATCAACAAACTCTAATAATGGTGCCAACTAATTAAAATAATTTCTCAAAATTTTATAAACCTGTAAGTCATAACCTTAATTGTAAAATATGAATAAGTTGAAAACAGTTTATGCTATAATGCTTAAAGAAAATAATTTACTCACATATAATTTAAAGTGGTAAAATTGTTAGCCAAAATCATGTAAATTTTAGAAAACACTTTAATCAACATTTAAAATTTTGAGAACTCAACAGAACAAGTTACAAACGTGAACACACAGTCCATAAGGATAAATAACTAAACGCAGCTTATACCATGAAAACAAACACGGACATACCAGTCCATGATGACAAGTAATCAAACGCAGCCAAAGCTACGAAACAAACGTGGACACACAGTCCACGAGGGTAAATAACCAAACGTGGCTCAGGCCACGGAATTAAATGCGAGTACAAAACTCACGAATATCAAACGTGAGAGCAAAGCTCACGAAACAATTAGCTAGTGTTTAACCACAGCGTGCTACGGGCTAACGGAACTGCTGTTAGCAGCACTGTTCTGTATAGAGTCCTCTTAGAAATCCCGTTTCAAAAATGCGAGAGAAATAATTATTTTTGAAGTTAAATTTTCATTCTCAAGATCAAACTCGCATGAATTGCTTCAAATATATGAAACTTGCCAAATTGATACATCATAGTGAATGTACAAACTTGCACTAATCATGTAACGAAGAAATTTTGACATTGAATAAACAAAAGTGCCTTCATCAATATTAGAAATATATTTCTTGAGAAAATGCACAAATCATAATGTAACTATCCTTCATTATTGTTTCGAAATTTCTAAAACTAACATAATTCATAAAAATGAAATATTTCAATAAAAGATTTTTAATGAATAATTATAAGGAATGCTATTCACTTATTTGTTGAAGTTCCAGATTCTCATAATATTCTTTCTTCACTTTCTATCAGGATCCTCATGTTCCACACATCCTATAAGGATATTATTAAACAAAATTTAACACATCGTCTTTAATTTACAAAGACTTCCTTCTACTTTTCCTATATCAACCATTATCACTTAAAATTTGAAACCAAAATTCATGCTTTAAAATTATTTCACACATGTCAGTAGGCATTTCAATGAAGCCAATATTCAAGTAATATATCAAAGCTATTATCTTTCAATTTCACCTCAATAAATTCTTTGCATCAACCATTTCGAATAGAATTAATTTAACTCCAAAATTATGACCCATATGTATATCACTACCAAGTCTTAAGTTAAGTTTTCAGCTCAAATTTGAACCTTCTTCTTACAACATATGGCAGCAACAAGGTTCTATCAAAGAACTCTAATTTTAGCCATCAACTCACACTCCCTCTCATATGGCTCAACGAAGGAAGAGTGCTCAAAAATCCTCACCTTAATCACCAGTAACAGCGAAAGAGGGAGAGATCAAGAGATTGCCAACTGAATAGGGAGAGAAAATGGAATCTCCAGCTGAGCAAGGAACAGAGGAAGACGTAGCATTGTTCAAGAGAAAGGGAAAAAAAACCAAAATCAGTGTCACTTCAGCTCAAGACCAGCACCACCCATTTCCGACGACCTCAACCCAGTGAAATGCTAAGCTCGTACAAGGAAGAATGATGCGGAAATAGGGGAGAACTCCTAACTGAGGCAAACGGACTAGCCACGAGCACATCGGCAACGATGGTCCATATGAACACGGCGCTAGCTATGGTTGAGGAGGAAGAAAGCGGTGACCGACGGGAGGCAGAGTAAAATGCCATCCAATCCTTAGATCCCCTTCTGCTCTAGAATGATCGAGAAAATAAGAAAGAAGAGTTAAAATATCTGATAGGAGTAAGGGCAGTTTGGTAATTTTTCATAGTCAAAAAAAGAAAAAATTAACTCTTCTTTTGGTCTCTTCTAGATTCGATCTTGGGACTTAATATATGAAGGATTGTTCAGCTACTACTAGACCAAGTCTCTAACTTATTATATTTTTCCCAAGAACTAATATAAACACACTTTAAGCAAGTTAACCTATATATTTATTTATTTATTTTAAATTTTGTCAGGGTTATTACAGTATGACACCATTTATATTGCAAGTATTGCAGACTTCCTCTTCATGTATATATGCGAATCAAAGAAAGTTGAACATGAACACTTTCTCAATCACAGCCAAAGCTTAGAACATAACAGTGAATTGGAGATTCTTTAATTCCCCAATGTTATATCGTTATCCTACTTTGGAGATTGAATAATATTTAAAGTAAAAATTAAAGTTCATAGATTATGTATTATAAAGACATGAAAAAGAACTATCATAGCCAATCTATTAAAATGGTGAACACCAATTCATGGCTATTCATAATCAAGTTTACTCTCATTAAAATGGTGAACACCAATGTTACCTAGCAATGATCCTCAATCGCAAAAAAAAAAAATCTTTAATAAACATAAGACAGTTCACAGCAAGACCTGTGCATATTTTGGATTACAACATGGTTCTATAATATCAACAACCAAGACATGCGCCTTATCCAGGTTTCCAGCATCAGTTTTGGCTATTAAATACTCATTTTAAGATATTCTATGGCTACTCTTGGAAAAGGTTTTAAAAACAAAAGATTCTTCATTTTTCTTTGGGAACAATCCTACCAACTGTACAATTTATTCTGATAATTTTACAATTTTAAAAATTATTCAAAACTATCAATTTTATCTCTCAGAAAGAATGTTTTTGAGTAATTTAGCTAGATCCAAATTTATCAACAGAAAATTTCATGAATCACAACAGGCAAAGTAATAGGAAACCAAGAAAATCGCCCATCACCATTCACCTCAATAAAAAATATAACCACACATATATAGACAGATGACTGGCTTCTCTGTTGAAGGCAGTAAGCTAAGTTTTGATGGTCACTTCATTCACTATCCTTGAGATTGACTCATTCCATTCAGCATTTGAACTTAATATAATAAACCCCATGATTGGCTTCTAATGAAGACAAAACCAAAATGTTATGCTACTTTCAACATGTAGGTCCCTAATCATAGTTTAACCAACATACAAATATTGTCATAAAATGGACCTCAGCAGCCTTTCATAAAAACTATACCATAACAACACCCTCGATTAACATCAAGAAATCAAGGGCTTGACCATGACATTAAATAAATATCTTGTAATGACCCATAATTTTAAATAAAAAAAATTCTTCCAATAGATATATTATTTAAATAAATTTTATAATAAGTAGAATTGGTAGTTTAGAGGAACTCATGATAAAAATTTTCCTAAGGATCTAAAGCTTAATTTTTTCTGAGCAAAATTAGTTTTAAAATTGTAGGAAAATCTTGTGCCCTTTTTTGTACATTTTTGTGTGCCTCTTATTGTGATTTTTTTGGGTGCTCTTTTTGTAATTTTTCCCACTGCTTCTTTTGGTCTAAATCAGTTTTTTCACGCGAAAAAAAAATAGAGCATCTCGATTTTTCTTCTCACCGCCATCATATACCTCTCTAGATCCTCATATAGTCGGTTCATCTCTCTAACCCTTACACACATTCTTTGCTTGCTGTCAATGGTGAATTCGTGTTGCTACTGTTGCTTATCTGCTGTCGTTCTCGTCGCTCTTGTTTTCCCACCACAATGAAGCTGAGCTACTGCCTTTCTTTCCCTATCATCGACTGTTCATTCATTATGTTCTCTCAATGATTGTTCATCTCTGTCGTGTGGAGTAGCTGACAATCTCTTCCCCATTTCTGCTCTATTTATCGCGGATGAAGGTGTGTGTTTGTATGCTCAGTTCTGTTTTTTTTCTCCTCTTCCTTAGCTGTTAAAAAGTTCATGTGCACGTGTGTGTATGGTAGATCGATGATGTTGTTTGCTGGTTGGATTTTGTTCTCCTTCCTTCTCGTGCGTGTCGAAACCTGAAGCTCTTCTTTGTTCCTTCTTCGCTACCATTCTTGCTTCTGTTCAGGTTGGCTTTCATGTGTATGTATGTGTGTGTGTTTAGCTTCACCTATTATTGTTTCTCAAGTGTTGAGTGTCTTACGTATGTATATGTAAGCTCAAATCCTTTACTTTCTTGGCCACGATAGCTGGTCTTCTTCCTTATCATCCGAGCTGCAAAACAGAGCATTTTGTTTTTGTCTTTTCCTTTTCAGCATTGAATACATGATGGTTTTAAGCTGTCATCGCTGGACCTAAGGTTAAGGCAAATCATTAATCCTCTCTTCTCCCTCTTCAAGTGCAACAACAGCCATGAAACAATCCCTTCCTTTCCCCAATTGCTTGATGTGATCCTGTTCCTTCTTCATGGTGTTTTACCTTCAGCTAGGATTGAAGTGTTGCTTTCAGTTGGGGGCTGGAAATCTTTCAATTATGTTGAGTTGAAATATAATAAATAATAAAATAAAAATAAATTGAAGATTAGAAGTTGTTGAAATTTCTTGGTTATTTATTTCATAATTTTGTCAATAATAAATGCATGCCTTCAAGGTAATTGTAAAAAGGTATGAGAGAAGAATTTGGTGAATTATAGTTTGTTAGTCTTTTATATTATAGGTTGAAGGAGTAAATGTAAGTTTTAGTTTAAGTTATTAATTGAAAATTTTTAAAACTACTAAAGTAAGGAAAAATGATTACATAGGATGCTTGTTTATTTCTTTTTTAGTTTAGAGAATGTTTAAGAATGATTGATATAATTTATAGTGAATTATGATTGACTAGGGTCATAAGGGAGTACGGGGATAAATTAAGAGTTGTCAAATGATTTGACCAACTCAAGTATACTTGCAATGTAATTGGTTATAGTGTTGTTAGTATCGGTTAGATTGAATGTTGATACCCATTAAGTGCTTGTAAGATTATTTGATGAATGATTTTAGAATTTTGACTCATTTGTCTGGACATTAAGGGCTTCATTAGAATAGAGGTCAAAAGTTAAGAGAAGCAAGTTTTAGAATCCTTGGGAAACACTCAAGTAAGTGGATAGCATCTCAACTGATATTTCATTAAAATCTCCTTTATTCAAATATTACATTTTTATGCAAATTCTTTTTACGACAACAATGTGATTATGAGATATTAAATTTTTATGGAAATTATTGTCTATTTGACTTACATAATTATTTCAAACTTTCCTTTTTAATCATGTTCAATTTATTATTGTTGGGACGTTATTCATTGGAAAATATTTTTGGTCTCAGATACCTTAGCTGAAGGTAATCCTCATACTGATCTTGAGAACTTTTACACGTGCTGAGTGAAGAGTTGATGGAAGTCTCTCCTTTTGATGTAATGATAATTTATGTGTAATTCATTCTGGAAAATATGGCCAGGTGCTCCACGACTATAGCTAGGGTTTCTATTTAATATATATATATATATATATATATGCACACTCACACACAGACATGTATGTTGCTTGCCGGCTGGGAGGAGTTGAGTTCCCAATTGATATAAGATTTTTGTAGAAATTTTGTATTGTAGAATTTTCGAGAGCTTGTACTTACAGGGGAGGTTTTGTTAAAATTTCTAAAAAATATTAAAGCTTTGTTATAATGATTAGTATCAAGATAGATTTGATTATATTTTAGAAATGAAATTTACTTATGTTTTGAGGCTTACGAGAATGTGTGGCATGATTCACACCCCGTGCCGGTCACCCTCTATTTTTGGGGCATGACATATCTTAACATATAAATTAAAGAGAAAATATTGCATATAGGATTTTAAGAAGGCTAATGAAGTTAACACATCCACCCATGTCTACCAAATATAGAATACATATAACTTAATTCTTAGCAAGAAAGTGACAAACACTGGGACAGAAGCTGCACTCACCTTAGCATTACAGTTGAAGCTTTAGCATGGAAAAACATGATAGTTATTCCCACTCCAAGTTTAAAAGTAAGTTTAAAGGATAAATTGTTAGAAACAAATTTGGTTTATGCTATAAGGTATCAAGTTAAAATTAAAGAAATGAATAACCACTGAAGTTTTCTAATTGCAAATGTATGCAACCAACATATTCATCCCATAAGTAGCAAAGACTGAAAAATGAGAGCTGTGTCTCTTGCACCGTCACAGAGTAACCCCCCTCCTCAAAAGGAAAACCAAATATCAGGAAAGAATGACAACAGTGGAAATTAAAAAAAAATCCCACCTTTACTTCCAAGTAGTGGACAAAAATTATGTGCATCATGTCCCTGCAAGTAATAGAATCATAACAAACTAATACTCTGAATCAATTTTTAAAAGTAACAAAACAAAACTCCAATTAGAAGATTTCATTTTATTTATGCTAGGATATATGCACCTAAGATTCCAACTCTAGAGATAACAGTGATCCATTAGTTGACTTATACTATATATAAATGAATTATGCAGTATCTTCTAAAAAGGTTGCAAAGATTCCATCAAGTTAAATGCATAAGCACTGTCTTTTCCATGAGAGATCATGTTATACCAGAATAATTCTGATATAGAGAGAGATAGAGAGAAGTAGGGAGAATTGAGGAATCAGAGAGATTGAAGAGAAGAGAGTAGAGAGACAAGAGAATATCACTGAATAATATGCAAACTGCTATTGATGTTTAGCATGACAGATTACAATAGGATCCGAAGTATTTATAGGTTCCTAGTCCAATCCTAACGGCTATTTGAAAGTGGAAAAAAGAAGAAGAAGAGAAAAGAAAATTTTGAAATTTTCTATTGCTTCATACATGTTAAAGTTTACTGAGGGGGACTGGGTTTAGAACGTTAGATGCTAACGGCAGTTCCGTTAGCTCTTGGCGCGCCATGGTACACCTAGCTAGCAGGGTGCTTCTGGGAGGTGCTAGCCCCGTGTATAGGCCAACGCACGTGGAATAGAGGGATAGTTATTCGTGAGCATCATACTCATGCTTGTTTTCGTGGGCTTTATGCCTGTGCTTGATTCGTGGCTCTTGCTGCGCTTGTTACGTGGCTTTCAGTCGTGCTTGATGGGTTATTTATTCTCATAGACTGTGTGTCCATGCTTGTTATTCGTTTTGATGGAGCCTTCCTAAATTTTTGTTAACATTTTCAGTTTTCTATTTATTCTTTGAAAGCCTTTTTATCAAATTGCACCATTATTAAATATTTTTATATTTTATGAGTAGTGGGATTTTTATTTTAAACATATATGTGTGACTTCACTAGCATTGACTAATTTCACAATCATCTTATAAAAAAAATTTAAAAATTAAGATTGTCATCTATTTCTAGTTAAGGGCAATTCATTTTTTCATTAAGGCATTTGAAGTTAAATTTATTATTTATGATCTTCATATTTTCTTTACTATAATTTCAATTAGAACGCTACTCACCGGTAAATTTTTAATCTCAGATAGTATAGTTGACCTTGGGCCTGCAGCTGACCATTGAAGGCCTTCTTGTTTTTGCTAAAATTTTCACAAAACATTTAGTTTTTGCTAACTTTATTATTAATGGATATAACTTACATATACTAAGATTTTAGCTAAATTCTCACTAATCGAGGCTTATGGAATATGAGCTCACCTCATATTCCATGCCGATCATACCCTTAAGTATTGAGGTGTGACATAGAAACCCTTCATCTTTCAAACAACTAGTTTCTTTCATTTAGCTTTGACAATAATGTTCACTACACCATTCCCAATCTTCTTGAGTTGGAGTTATCTTCTTGTAACATTAATGACTTTACTAAAATCTTAGGAAACCTTCAAGGTTTGATGAATTTACATCTCTCCAATAACAAAATTCATAGAGAGATTCCCAAATGTTTCAATAATGTGGGGAATGGTTCCTTGGAAACTTTAGATCTTTCTCATAACAATTTGACATCAGCAGAACATCTGTCAATGAGAAACTTCTATTTTCTTGACCTTAGCTTCAATATGTTGCAAGGAGATCTCCCTATTCCATCCTTCTCTATTCATTTCTTTTTAGTGCCCAATAACAAACTAAGTGGACACATTTCTTCCTCATTTTGCAATGCAAGCTCACTTGAAATACTCAACTTGTCTCACAACAACTTGTCAGGTCACATCCCAAAATGCCTTGTTACTTTGCCATATCTTAAGACTTTAGACCTGCAGATGAACAAATTTGTTGGAACTATACCAAGCAATTTTTCTCAAGGAAATTCTTTGCAATCTTTGCATTTAAGAAACAATCAATTTGAGGGACGGTTGCCTTTGTCTTTGACCCATTGCAAGCAATTGCAAATTTTAGATGTGGGAGCAAACAAGATCAGGGGTGAATTTCCTAATTTTCTTGAAGCCTTATCGGAGCTGCAGGTACTCATTTTAAGAGAAAATAAGTTCTACAGTGCCATTTATCGTTCCAACACCAATCATCCTTTTTCTGAATTAAGAATTTTTGATGTTTCCAACAACCATTTTAGTGGATCTTTGCTTGCTACATACTTCAAGGAATTTAAAGGAATGATAAATGTAGATTATGTTGCATCTGGTTTGAATTACATGGAAAATAAGGGATTCTATGAATCAGTGAAGGTCACATTGAAAGGTTATGAGGTAGAGCTAGTAAGGATCATAACTACATTCACAACCATTGACTTATCAAATGACATGTTTGATGGAGAGATCCCACAAGTTATGGGAGAGCTTAATTCACTAAAAGGGCTAGACCTCTCCCACAATAAAATCATCGGTCCTATTCCTCAATCACTTGCAAATGTAACAAATCTAGAATGCTTAAACAAGCTTACTGGTGAGATTCCTCCTGAACTAGCAAATCTCAACTTTCTTGAAGTTTTGAATCTTTTAGAAAATAAACTTGTGGGAGCAATACCAAGAGGTAAGCAATTTGATACATTTTCATGTGATTCCTATGAGGGAAATTTAGGACTGTGTGGATCTCCATCGTCAAAGGCATGTAATCAAGATGAAGGGAAATTGCCACAACCATCTTCATCAACAAATGACAAACTGGGATCTGGTTGGAAACCAGTAGCCTTAGGATATGGATGTGGGATGGTGTTTGGAATGTTCATGGGACGAGTTGCTTTTTCAATTGGAAAACCTCTATGGCTTATCAGAATTTTTGAAGGGAGGCCTAAGAAACAAGCAAAAAGGACAAGGAAAACAACTGTTCCAAATCATAGGAGAATGACTTAGGCCTAAAAGATTGTGGCTTTATGTGATACTGTGACATCTTTTTTTGTTCATGTTCTCTTTATGGTTCTTGTTTCATGTCTCTTAAATGTCATGTCATCAGTAATTGGAATCTATTATATATTTCTTTGTACTATGTAAGTTATTGTTATTCTCTGTTTTGTGATTTTCAAGTGATTTTTTCTCATTTGTGTGCCATGTACTTTTTTAACATGTGAATAAAAGTTTCCAAATATTAGCAACTCATTTTTTTTCCCTTTTTGTCAGCAACTTTTGTTATTTGGCAATTAGTGATCAAGCGTTCAACCTTTCCCATTTACATAAATATTTAAAGAAACTTTCTTATTTATGTTCTTTTTCTTCTCTCTTGAAATTAAGTAAATTTAATTAATCTCTCTACTGTATGCAACTGAAGCAATTCGAATATATTAGGCACTCGCTGAAGCTAAAATTCATTGCCTCTTTTGTTTGTCTTTTACTTTGAGGAAACTTGCAGTCAATGTTATTGTTCTATATTGACTGCAATTGATATAATTAATCAATAAATGAACTTTTCATAAAATTATCTTCATTAAAAGTATACTGTTTGGATGTTTGGTAATTTTCATCACGCAACCCTTAGAATTGGTTCGTTTTATATGCATAATAGAATAGAAAAAAAAAATAAAAATTAATTTAACAAACGTGTGTGTGTGTGTGTGTCTGAGTGTGTTTGTGAATAATAAATAATAATCATTCCAAGTGTTGATAACATAATATAATAAATATTAAAAAGACTCATCTTTTACTCATATAAAAAGAATGCTTTCAAAAACATGATATTGATAGTTATTTGTTTTCATGGAATGTTGTATTTTAAATTTTGTTGGCCATTTAAGTTCGACAGTCAATGATTCTGGGCAAGAGAAAATATTCCTTTATTTCATTTGTCTCCAAAATAGAAAACAAAATTGAGATATGTTGCTTCAACACAACGTTTTGAATTTTGTGTTCGTTTTTTCGAATTGGCATTTCTTCCAATCTTTTCACATGTCACTATTTTTAATTTTTGAATCATGGATCTATTACGTAGGTACGTGACTGAACTTTCTTTTACTTCGACTCAAGTTTTTGCCCATTAAATATTTGTCAAGCTTCATTTTGCTTTGATTGATTTTTTTACGCCTGCCATTTATTTATTTTAATAATCTGGAAAGCAGTTTTAACTATATTGAGGCCACTCGTCCGAGGCATATATGATTGTGGCTCGTTGCATGAAAAAAAGATTAATCATCAAAGAGAATTTTAATAGTAAAAATTTTAATGAAATTTTCCATCCTATTATTTGGATGAGAAAATAGAGAGGAGGATTTGGTGATAAAATTTTTTTTGAAAGTGCCATGTATGTAGGGACTCTCATGTCATAGTACAAGAGTGCTCTCTGTAACAACCCTAAAATTAAATACGGGTTCCAAGGATTCTTTGCCAAAGTTTTCTCATACGTAACTTATCAAAATGAACAAAAAAAAAAACATATGTGTGCATAAAAATCAATTATTTTCTCAGATGATAACTAGAAATGATTTTTTACCAAGAAAAAAAAATTAAACATTAACTAGGGATGTTTTGATAAATAAAAAATTAAAATCATTATTTAATAAAGGAGACAAAACAAATGGGATTCTTATGTGCGTAAAAGATCAAAGGTTAAAACCTATTTTTGCTCTTAAACTATATCCTTAAGGAAAAGATTTGATCTTGAATCTTGGATTTTCTCATCCGGTCAAGATGGCAATCCCCGAAGGCCTCAGGTCGAAGGTTTGAAGATAACACCAGAATCAGAGTTAGTGGATATGACAAGTCATGGAGTGGAATGGCAAAAACCCGTTATTGAGTCCATTCTGATTTTCTTCTTCTTTTCCTTTCTTCTTCTTTTCTGGGTTGGTTTTTTAAACAATGATAAGTGATTAAAACTTAAGCAGGCCGCTTTAAACATTTGACACCAATAATATGCGAGAAATCAAACAGCATCCTTGAACACAGTTGATAAAGTAAGAGGGAACAAATCTGGAGCCATGGTGAGACAAAGATCTTTAGGGAATTCCCCTACATATTTCTGGACGAAGCATTACACGCTATGTATTGCATATTGCAAATGCAATATGATCTGATCTGTACGATTTAAAGTAGGTACCTTCTGGATGTTGCTAGCTTCCAATTATGTGGAGCTGCCATTTGATAAGTAAGAAAATATGGTAGATATAACTTGTATGTAGAAAGTGAAATATACTAATCTCCCTTTTGTTTCGCCAAAATTACATAAACCTGTCATCTATTTTCAAAAACCTACACTTTAGTCTAATTTTTAATACCATTAAAAATTTTAAAATTATTATTATGCCCATATAATCTAATCGTCTACTTTCTTTCCCAATTTAAAAAACTTCAAACAATTAAGTATGTCGATATTTAAATAAATAATTTAAATTTTGTGTAAAAATTAATAATTTTTTTTAAAAAAATATAAACTAAATTAAGTAATTTATTATATTAAATCCTTATTTCATTAAATTTTTAACTACATGTATAAAATATTATCTTAGCCAATTTATGTATTTACATTTTAGAAAATGTTACTAAATAAATATGTTTATGTAATTAAAGAATTTTAAATATAAATAAAAAATTTTAAAATATATATACCTTAGATTTGTTGCTAATTTCAATGATTTGTAGAAAAAAATTTTATTTTAAAAAGGTTATTTTAGTCCAATATATGTTACTTAACAGTTTAATTAATGGTTGGGTGAATGAAAATAAAATATTAATAATAAATGGGAGATTTGTGTTTTGTAACTAGTTATACTAGGGAAGGTTTACCTATGTTTTTAAAAATAGAAGTAAGGTGTCTGTAATTAAGATAAAACAGTAGGAAAGTTAGAGTATTTCAATCATAAATAAATCCAAAGGGATATATATATATATGCATATTTAATTAATAAATTTATATAAATTGAATTTTGTCTTTAATATAATTGCTTTTTGTTAAAAATAATGGAAAAGAAACCAGAAGCCTGATTAAACACCAATTTCTATGACAACCCTAAAACAAATTAAATATGGTTTTCTATAATTCTTTGCCAAAGTTTTCTCATGCAACTTACCAAAAAAATTACTCATATGCATGCATAAAAATGTACTCCCTCGCTAGCTACAACAAGAGTTTATGGGACGCCGTTTTGACCTATGAAAACTTTTTTTTTTTTTTACCTATAAAAACTTTTGAAAGTGCTATACATGCAAGTGTCCCCATGTTATAGTATCAAGAGTACCTTTAAAGAGCTTCCCTAGATAGGGCTTATTGATATTAAAATTTAATATATCAGTAGTTGAAAATACTTTATCAACATTTCTAAAATTATAATGTTTGCATTTTTCATTAATGAGATTAACAGTACTAGAGTTAGAGAAGTAAAAAAAAGATTTTATAAATAAAAATTTATGTAAAATTAAAAGATTAAAGGTGTACTTTTGCTGAATTTTTAGGATAATTAATTTTTTCTTTTTGAAAGTAATTGGTTATAAGGGGAATGACAAGTAAAAACTTCATAGGAAAATCAATGCCAAATTTAAGATTTTTTTTCCTAAAGATTTATTATTGAAACATGCAAGAATAAATACTGAATCTAGAAACTTTAATTATGAAGAGATCCTAACTTGACATTAAGGTCCTTCTTTATCATTCTAACCATAGTTATATTGCCTTTTTGGTTTATAAATAATAATAATATTTGTGCATTCATTTTCGACTATTTCTAGAAGTTCTACCAACTTAATGGTTCATTGCGTTCCCCATTGATGCCTTTCATTATCTTTCCTCTTTTTTTTTTTTACCAGAATTTTCTTTCATTCTTCCAATCTAATTAGGCTCATCGGAACAATGGGGTTTTTTTTTTTTGGTTACCTGCAGAAAAAAAGCAGGACAGATTCATATGACGGCAAAAAGTGAATTAAGCAAATGGAGCACATCACTATTATTCATTATATGCTTTCATGAAAGTGAAAGGACAGCGTAAACATACCAAACACAAAAATAGCAAGTGATTCCGTGTTGTGGGCCTCACGATTGTAAAGTGGAGAGCAGATGCTGTAAAAAGAGCTTTTTGGTTGAACTCAAACTGCCAAAAATAGCTATGGGCCGGCCACGTTGAGCCCAGTAGAAAGTAAACTCCGTTACATCCGGATGGCTTGCTTTTGAGTCGACACTAACTCAAGATACAGCACAATAGTATGACAGTAAAGCAACAACTAGTGATCACATCGTAACATGATATATTAATGGGAGAATCACACTTAGGGCTCTAAGAAGACAAAAAATTACATCTAAAATCTAATTTATTTTGAATTGTTTCTACAGACTCAAAAATCCTAAATACAAATATGTTTCTATGTGAAAATACACATTTGTCCCAAATGTACAAATTTCCTAAGTGTGCATGTGTACAATACAATGTTTTTAGAGAACATGGTAAGGTTCATATGTGAACGATATAATGTCCATTTATTATACATCATTCATATGGTTAAGTTGAATAATAATGTATAAATTTTTAGATATATGTACAATATAATGTTTGCAAGGAACATAACGAAGTTTATACATGAATAACACAATATCTATTTATTATATATAGTATATATGGTTAAGTTGAAGAATAATGTATAAATTTTTAAGTATATAGACAACACAATATTCATAAAGAATATGACAAGATTCATACTGGTTAAGGGCAAATACATCTTTTTACAAAAAAAAAAAAAACAAATTTTTTGGCTTTGGTCTTGAGAGATAATTGAGAATATATTGAGTCTTAGGGACAATTTTTTCCATTTCGAAAGCTTTTTGGTGAGATTCTCCTTATATTAACTTGTGGCAAAAAGTTGAAAAGGTTTTTGGCGATGAAAATGATCAAAACATTGCCTTCCCAATCTACAGAAAATAAAAAATAAAGATGAAGATAGGA